AACCGCACAGTAACAAATGTCAGGACCTCCCTTTTTAAAAATGCATGGAACTATTTCGTCAGTGCCTGTGTTCCTAGAGAACTTAGGCGTTTCGATGGCTTGGTTAATATTTGCACATGTGAACTTAATAGTTCCACCAGGTTCCAGTACAGGAGGGGAGAGCTGGTTGCCAATTTCAACGAGGTTCACATTACTCCCAAACTGACAAAGATGGAAAGAAAATGGGAAAATGGGGGAAACGTGGGGAAAACTAGTGGCTAGCAAAAGGGGAAATAATGAGCAAACGCAACAAAACACCGGCATTGTCCTCAACAGTAGGGTTGCACACATTCGTTCCCCACGCCTTCCCCATCCGTTCCTCTTCGTCCCCATTTTCTCCACACGGCTTTACCATCCCTTCCCCTTAGTTCACGTTTTTCCCCACGGCTTCGCAATTTCTGCGCTTCGTCTCCCCATACGTTCCCCCCTGTCCCCACTTTTGCCCCAAGTATGCGCCTTTTCTGAGCTTCATTTTCTTGCTCGTTCCGGATTCGCCGTAATAGTTCCAAACACAGGCCCGTTTAGTCCTCATAACGGCTTACCCATTTATTCACACTAGTCTACCTATTCGTTACTATTGCTAGCTCTTATATTTCCGAACTAACTGTACTTTCCACATAAGCCACGGCAACTCCCGCGTATGCATATCCGGCGAATAATCCCAGTTCTAGATCAACCGTGTTGAAGTATATTCCCTATTCACTACTTCTAACTAATGAACCAGCTAGGTCTCAGTCTGTCTTACTACAACTTCTGTAATGGGATTGCTAGAGTGTGGAGGCAGCATGTGTGGTGCCGGGTGAAGAAGGGATTGGTACTGTGCACAGTACCACTTTGTGGTAGATTCCTGGGAACTTGTAACCAACACATGTTGAAAGAGGACCAATGTCTTGACGCGTAATTAGGTCAAGCACTTTTCACGCCTCGTTGGAATGGTGATAGACTGCTTCCATCCGAATGTATCCAACGCACTAAGGAAACTATCATATCTGGCGGGGGGAGTATACGTGTCCTACTTGATTTCCGGCAGATTAAAGCTTCCGCGTACAACCTCGTGGTCATACTGAAGGGAGGATGCGTGTCTAAGAGCACTATTGAGTAAGGACTCGTCTTCAGAGAACATCTAGGGTGCTCTGTTTATGCAACCAAGCAGTACCGTTGCATCCTTGTAATCCACCATGACCCGTAGGGAGTCTTTAATTTTACTTAGCACTACGTCTACCAGCCTGCATACATTTGGGGAAGAGGTTCCCTGGAGAGTTTACCTGCTCTTCATACGCTGGTGTGGCCACATACTATTTTGCATACTTTCTGCATGCCTGGGATAGCCTGGGTTATGAGCTAGTTAAAACAGATCACGTAAACGGGATTCCTTGTAGTTTGTCTTAGAGGTATTCGACATCTTAGCTTCAGCATAACCTTGGACACTATTGTTCTACTTTTGCGGGGTAGGTTTTTCTCTATATCTGGTTTTCAGTTTTAATGATGGCTGCTCTTGCATGTCAGGTGAGGAGCTAGATCTGTCAAGGGCAACAGTTTTGTTACCACTACGTACAGTCAGCAGTAGAGCTAGTAGATGTCAGCAAAATGATTTGAGAAGCGTTTGTTTGGGCATTCAAGGCATTTGGGCAGTCGATAGCTGAAGGACGTCTACCTTTAGGTGGTGTATGCTGTCAGCCTACATTACTTTTGTAGGTTGGCCGTTGGTTAACAGTCTTTTCTGATACTATCTTAATGTTCTAAAGTTTAGTAGTGAGAATTGTAGTGTCACAAGAACTAATAAACTGGGTAACCATTCGATGACTGTCGAGACTAAATGGAACTGAGCGGCGGTATTTCTGGCGTTTTTGAGAGCCTAAAACGACTGCATGGAATATCTAACACGTAGCAGTGTTAACAAGTACTTCCTGTACGGTGTTTATAGGCATTTAGCCTGAGACGCTGTATACAACCACCACCTTGCCAGGTGCTATACGGTTTATGACTTCGGAAGAGATTTAACTGATTACATTCTCCACGTTTTGTGCGACATCGGGCTCAGTTTCGACTTTGCTTCCAGTAAATGCGGGGGTCGTGCTAAATTTGGTGATCATCAGCTGTAAAGGTGTGTCGTCCCGCATATCTCACACTATATCTGCTATGTTGGCTGGAATTGCACCAGTTAAGAGGATCTTAAAGCGGAGTTCGTTCTTTCACGGCTGCAGATCTTAGGTTGTTCGTTTAACTTCGGATACAGTTTACAGTTCCTCACTGAGAATTGCCAATTTAGATTCAACCGTCCGTACAACATCCGAAAGATCTATTACAGCTTTCATCTGTGCACCAATGCTATCTACGGCCGGTTTAAGACAAAGACAATCCTCCGTTCTTGGGCCAACCATCAGGCTGCTCGTCAAAACTTTTGTCAATTTTAACATCGGTGTTGTGCCCAATTACGCATCGATGTAATTATTTTTAGAACTCACACCAATTTCATTCGATAGCGGAAGCAGGTCAAGATTAGTTTTTCACTGATGTGGACTTCACTGAGGCTTATACGAGAGCCTTTCCTTGAGTTTCGACCATAGTTTAACGGTAATTTTTCCGTTAGGATGAGGTCGGAGAACCATGATCACTTGGATATGGCAAGTACCACGGGGAAGACTCGTGCCAGTGACCAGTTATAAATGCCTGTACAAAAGCTTGCCCAGGCCTCAAAGAGGATTGAAAAGCGCAGAGATGTGAAATTCTGTGCCGTGTGAACACCATTGGTGGACAAAGGTGTAAAACAACAGCAAAAAACAACGCAGCAATAAAGTTAGTATAGCTGCGGGGATGTAACGCAAGTTACGAACGCTTGGAAGGCTGTAAACGTTGAGTTCTAGTTTTATTCTCCTTCAGGCCCCTTCCTCTTTCATTTTCAACTTACTAAAATGTTGAACCTGAAAGAAAGCGATAGTTTTGTACTGTCGTTTCTGCCTTCATGCCTTAGATGCCTTTTGAATACAGACTTAAAACATGTTACTGCAACAGAAACCGTGAAAGCTCGCCTATATTAGCTTCTTAGAGAAACACTTTTAATGCTGAGTTCCACGTTGTCTTCTTCAACCGACAACTCATACGAGAATGCATCGTGAACGAGGTGTGACTTTGAGTCACTTCAGCCTGGATCTGCAGGTTGAGTCAATCTTTTTGAAGCCGGTTACGTTAGTACCGCAAGGCGCTCTTCTTTTTGGCAGTGTTTCAGTGCACCATGATGCCAGCCTGTCTACTCGTCCAGGTCAATCTCCTACAACTGTTTGCAAAGCTGGACCACGAGATTCAAAAGGGACATGTTTTCAACATTTGGCTACTGCGGAGGATTTGGGTATCCGTAAATTCTAGGCCAGCCACTATCTGCGGAAAAAATATGTCACTGATTCCGCCTCGGTCTCGACGTCTTTTTTACTCGTTTGGGAAACCCCACTGATGGCAGTTGTCTTGCCTTTCGATCCTTTTTCTTTTGCACAGTTCTCTAAATTGTCAGGTGAACAAACACCGGGATACCACGGTTCTAGGAACAATTCGTAGCTCATTAACATTCTGCTTCTCCAACTACTTTCATTATTTTTGGAGATCATTACATTGTCGGCCCTGCCGATATACTCATAATTTCGCCCATGCGTCTGTTATTATGCTGCCACCCAAATCTCAATCTACTACGAACCGAAAAGCCTATTTTTCTCACTGATATGTGCACTGTTGTTAAGGCCCAGTGTCCAATATATTCTAAGCGGAAATATTTTCCCTGTCAAACTGTTTTCTTGCTTGTCAAACGTATATACGTTCCAAGCGCTTCCAAGCCGTTGGCTCATTTTTGTCAGTCCTTCGCGCCTGCAGCTTTTCTAGCTGGCTCAGTGGAATGTGGCTGACGAAATAACACACACTGCCGTCCATTCCTCCGCAGCGAACTTGACCAAAAAGTTGGAGAACTTCCTGCTAACACCTGATTCATATGGACTACGTCGAGTGATAATAGTGAGCTAGGCTTTAAGGAAGAGACCGGGATCACAATAAGTTGGTCAGATGAGTATCAGCCAAAGATTCACATGTGAGAAATCGTAGGTTTGCTTACAGGGTGTACAAATCTCCAGGGCCATTTTCCATATGGCTTTCCATGACTTTAAGACTACGGCAAACTGAGGAGTTGAGGGCACTAAGTGCTTTGTAGTAATAAACCTACTTCTTACTGCCGTTAAAGGCTTTCAGGAAATTTCGGCACTGGTTTTTTGCCCAACACACTTTACACATAATTTTGAGCAAAGGATTCGGTCAGCTAGCTCATCTCTTAGACAAACAGTGAACATGACAAGACGTGTTTGAGAGTAAAGGCCTGCATTAAGAAAGAGTTTCCGAACTGTTTTAAGTTTGGATACTTTATCTTGATCCGTTTCACCTATCATCTGGGAGAAGATCTCAAATCAATTTTCCTTCCGTGCTATAAACAATTATTTAAGTGCGATTAACCCATGCCATTAATTTATTCGTTCGAGAAATGACAGCTTGAGAAGACAACAACTGTCGCGTAAGAAATACTTCCTTTTTATACGTCCTACCGTTAACCAGTAAGATTTTCTGCCGCCACGGAAGTGCCGACTGGATACTTACTCGACATGCGGCTGGGATCTGCCCAGAACTAATTGAATTTCACACTTTAACCGCCAATTTTTCCATTTTCCTTGATTGTACACAGGCAAACAACCACAAAAAGTAGTGATCCACGGATTTAAGACGCGGAAGCCAGTTGAGCGAAAGCTTCTTCTATTCGTTAACAACCATTTGAACCATTGGGATAATATCTGAGCCTTTCTAACCAGTTCCTTCGAAGTAATATTGCACCTTTGCTTTTCTGCAAACGGCCTAAGCCACAAAAGACATTTATTCGGCTATCTTTTATTCTGAAAACCGGAAGTTAAAGCGTTCGAAATTTAGAAATAAGATCAGGAAAATTGAACGGTGAGAGCGCAGACTTCCTAAAATTGTGCGGTACAAACGTTAGGTGTAGATTTTTTCTACAGAACTATTAAGGTATATGCTCTCTCCGTTTATGCTGCATTTTTTACCACTGTTATCATTCAAAGTTGTCTTATGACCGTGAAAAGTGGTTTAGCTATGAAAATAAAAGGTGTTTCGCGTGTTTATTTGTTTCATGTATTATTTTGTGTAGTCAAGTAAATACAGGTAGTTCTGCATTTAATGTATGTCATCGTAAGCAGTAAAAACCGCTTGAACCCCTTTGAATTGCTTTATAAATTCTCAAGATACTCATTGTGATGAAGATATTTAAAGTTGGAACCACACCTGCAAATTTCATTATCTATGATGCCTTTCTTGTGAGAAAGTCTACTCTGCCAATTTTATTCCTTACGTATACTGGACTGGTTACTTGACTAGCTTCGCCATAGCTGGTAGAATAACTTGGTGCTCATAAAGCCGCACTTAAATGGGAGAGCAAACGTCAGTAGGACATGATGGGTGGTCCAAATATTTAGCATCAATGGTGCGCCTGATTAGAAACCATTCAAGCTGTAGGTTTACCAAATCACATGCAACGAAGGCGAAGTTGGGCGATATATTGAAGACGCTAGAAAAGTTAGTGTGACGAGTGTGGTTTTAGAAGCTATCAGAAATAAATAACATGGTCCTGGTGTCACTAATAGATCTAGATTGCCGGTTAAAAACATAGGAGTTATGCTTCATACCTAGTTTTCAAAATAAAATACTCAAGTTGACAGAAAGAGTCGCAGTGGTATCTCCAACCGTAACAGATATTTTCGTGGACTTTTGGGAAAGTGTGCTTCTGAGAATATTCAGTTTAGCCTGGAGTGCTCAGCAATTTGTGTGTGACACATTTGCTTCATTGACATCAAATATACATTACTTTTTTGCTTGCAAAACCTCGGTTGTAGATGGAGTTTAATTTTCGAACAGGGAAAGCTAGGTACACGAGATTTCCCAATAAAGTGAAGATTATGGTTTAGATGTAATTACTTAGTTTATACTCACAGAGCAAAGTAAGTGTTCAGTGTGATTTACAGCCTCTCATCGTATCTTACCAGTGGAGTTCGAACTCGCCTTTTACATACAGCCAAAGCTATAAAACTAGAATGAACAATCTGAATCTTTGTATTCAAAATGAGTATATGCAACCTTCATTCCTACAATGGCCAGGGAAGACTTAGCAAATAACCCTGCCCATATATTTCTGAAATGCTCTTTTCCCTTTTGATTTCTGTCACCCCTTTCAAACCACTACCATATATTCAAACTTTATTTATCCACTGCCTTCATTCTTCCCCTGTCACTCAACCTTATTGTTCTGTCCCAGACTCGGACCTACTTTGTCCGTCTGAACACCTGCTTAAGTTTTCATATGATTCTGGACATTCTTATCCTTCATACTATAACTGCTTCTACTATCCTAAAGTGCATAATCCGCTTCTTTATTATCGTTGACTGACATTGCCTTGATCGGTTCATATTCTGCACGTATATTGAAAGTTTAATATAATAAGGCATATGTAGCTGGAAGCAGTATTGTTTACTTCCACTTCTTGTTAAATGTGTTCATAGAAAACCGTTCCATTCTAATAGAATCTAGACCTTAGGTCATCTCACTGTACATAAATTATAGTGGGTTTCCTGACCGGTAACTGCTACCTTTACGTAGTGGTCGTGCTTGCATATCACAGTGACCCAACGAGCTATACTAGTGGAATGCTTGTTCCCTCAGGGTCCTACCTTGCTAGAAAGGTCTGTTGGATAGTGGTAGGACGAAAGCAGTTACTATTGTAGTGTAAATTACTATAGTATGACGGGGTCTGAGGGCGAAATCGTATTGCTACTGGCTGGATGGGTTGTGACAGCAGTAAGGTGTTTCCCCTGGATGACCAGTGGTTCCACGCTGGTATTGCCTTCTCAATAGAAGGGGTTGAGGAGTTCGAAAAGGTCGACCCTAAAAATAACACACCATCCCTCACGGTCTTCAATCCTAGCGGTATGGGTTCTCTCTGTCCGGCGTTAGAACAACAAAACCTCGAAACAACAACCCATAAAGGGCTGTGTAACAGGCCTCAATCAGATATCCTATAACCTCAGTGGTCATACACTATCTCTTCTTTTCCAGGTACCTCAAGAAGAAGTGGCTTTCCACAGTGTGACCAGGCTGGAAGTGTCAACCACCTGCACTCTCCCATTAGTACACAAGACCGAATCAAACATAACCTATCCTTCTGAACTTTGTCTCCTCCTTTGCCGTCACCTGATTTTAACATTAGGCCTCTTACAGCTTACCCAACCTCATTCTGCAACCGTTGTCAATGATTAAGGTCATCGAAACCCCATTCCTAATCTCCTAAGACCTCGCCATCGACTTCATGTAGAAGCTTTCAGTTTCCGAACTTAAGTTGAGTTGTATAGCAAAAAGTGCTCTTGTCGGCTGAGTACCAGTCAACAGTCGTCTGTGTACTGTTTGACTGAATGGATCTGTAAGGACTAGGAAGAGTCGTGACACTAGGTGATGCCTATTTGTAATTTCCGACCACGCACCTATCGACTGCAGCTCGGATGATTTTTTTAAAATTATTATTTGTCCCTTGGGTTCCTAGTGGAACATAGGGCTTCAGTAACACGTCTCCATTACACTCTGTTCTCTGAAATCTTTTCAACCTGGCTCCACGACAGCCCATAAGCTCTCATTTCCTCCTCACACGATCTCCTCCATGTCATCCTCGCCTCCTACGCCCAACTCGTCACCTTCCATCTGGGTTCCATTTGAGGGCCTGGCCTGACGTGGCGCGTGATGTCCCCAGTCGGCCTTCTCAGTGTATGCCCAATCCATCTCCACTCTATTCCTCTGCATATTTGTTGAGCGATAGCTTCTTGGTTAGTTCGTTGCCAGCCAGCCAGAGTTCCTTGTTGCTTATTCATATTATCCTGACCATCTGATGTTCAGTAACGAGCCAGTGTAGGTGGCAGTTGTTGATGAATGTCTGTAGTTTGTTGGAAATCCCCTTCGTAACGCGCCAAGTCTCTGAACCAAACAGAAGCACTGACTTGACTAGATTGGTGTTGAAAGTCCGGATTTTGTTCCACATGCTGAGTGCAGAAGATCTCCACACTGGTTTCAGGCTAATGAACGCCTGTCTTGCTTTTCCGATCCTGGCTGACTTTGACGTCCTCGTCTGTGCCGCCTGTAGTTGAAACAGTGCTGCCTAGATAGGTGAAGGAGGTTACTTCCTTTAAGTTTCTCCCGTTGATGATGGTTGGAGTTTGTTGTTGTTTGTTGGGTATCTTCATCACCTCTGTCTTCTCTATATTCACTTGAAGTCCCATCTTCTCTACCCTGCCTCTTCTCTCAACTCGTTAGTTTTCGCCTGTAGATCTTCAAGTTGGTGTGATATCAGACACAAGTCATTATCGGTGAAATCCGAGTCTTCTAGGTTCTTTTCCATAGTCCAGCGTATCCCTCTCTTCTCGCTCCTCATTGTTTGTTGCATGATCCAATCCACAACAATCAGGAAGGTGATGGGTGATAGTAAGCAGCCTTGTTTCACTCCTGTCTTCACCGTAAAAGCATCACTGCGCTTCCCATTGTGAATTACTGGGCATGTAGCGTCTTCATATAGTTGTTGAATGGGGCTGATAAAGGTTTGCGGTATTCCGTAGTGTTGAAGCAGTTTCCAAATTACTTGTCATTCGACGCTGTCAAATGTCTTCTCAAAGTCAATGAAGTTGAGGTTGAGAGTTTACTGCCATTCTATGCTTTGTTCTGTGATGATGCGAAGCGTAGCGTTGCAATTTGGTCCGCACATGATCTGTACTTCCTGAAGGCAGCCAGCCTGTTCTGGTCGTAGTTTTGAATCCAGCGCATCCTGTAGTCTGTCCAAGATGATGTGGCTTAGTATTTTGCTTGGGGTAGACAGAAGCGTGATTCCGCTCCAGTTCTTGCAAACACTGAGGTCTCCCTTCTTCGCGATTATGACAAGGTAGCCCTTCTTCCAATCAATGGACAGGTACCTTCCCTTCCTTCCAGACCTTCTGCAATAGTGGTGTGAGCATATCCTCTGTTGTCTCTGCGTCTGTTCTCAGTGCTTCTGACGGGATTACATCTGGTCCTACTGCTTTCCCGCATTGCATCAGCTTTAAGGCGTTCAGGACTTCCACTTTTGTTGGAGGATTTATGTTCACTTGTAGTTCTACGGCTGCAGGTGGTGGTCGATTGAGGAGCTTCTTGAAGTGGTTGGCCCATTGTTTCCTCTGTTTCTCTTCTTTCGTAATTAAATTTCCTTCATCTTTTATTGGTTTCATCTGTGTTGATCTCTCGCCTCCCAGATAGTAACCTGGTTATTTGATACAATGTTGTCAGTTCCCTGTCTCTCTTACCTGCAGCCTGTTCTGCTTCACTTGCCAGTGTTTCGTAGAAGTGTGTTTTGTCTTTCCGTGCACTCTTCTTCACTTCTTTGTCCAGTGTTCTATACATTGTACTCAGATCCTCTTATCGTTGTTCATCCTTGCACTGGTTTATCTTCTGCTTCACCATCCTCCTCTCCCTGCTCTATCAGCTTCCATGTATCCATTGAGATCCATTCCTTGTCTTCTTTCTTCTTCCCTCTTTTCTAATACGGCTGTGCAGGTTTCTTTCCACATCTCTTCCAAAGACTTCCAGTGTTCTTCCACACAGGTTTCTTCAGGGATGTTGCTCGCTGTCTCCCATTTTGTCTTGATGGCTGACTGACGTGAAGATTTCCTTTGTAGTTTCATCCTTCAGTTTCCGAGTGTTGTACCTGAACTACGGTCTATCACCAGCTTCCTTGAAGGCTTTTAACCTGACTTGGAAGGTTCCTCGCACTAGATAGTGAGTGGTCTGAACCTACATCTGCTCCTCTTCTTCATCTGAACTTGTGTTCAGTAGACTGCGTCTCCATTTTCTTGAGATTGAGATAAAGTCGATTTGATTTTTAGTGTGTCCTGGTGTCTGATGAAATCCATGTCGCTTTGTGGATATCCTTGTGCTTGAACACAGTGCC